AAAATAAATTTAAGAACTTATTTCTAAATATCAATAATGTATATACATATATAATGTGTAATAATTGAAATGTGACTGTATTTTACAAAACATTAGTCTACTAAAATACAGCCAAGACAGATCACTTTGTAAAAACTAAAGGTCAGTTTTATATTATTGGTATACGGTAACATCAGTGCACATGTGCCATGTCATTGTAACTTCTGTATTGTTAGCCAGGCATGGCTGAAAAGTCAATATGATAAATATATATATATATAAATGTATAATGTTATAAGATTTAAGCTATTTAGTCTAAACATTAATGTTTTCGTGTTATAATTTGTTGTCATTCCAGAATGAGAGAGGCATAACTTATATTTATTTCCTAATTTTTTATGGCAATTATAAGATCAGTCAAATCTACTGAACCTTTACAGAGATTCGTTACTGAAAATAACAGATAAAATGTAAAGATTTTTCTTAAGAATCATTTGAAAACTGTCTGGACATTATAAAGATTTTGTATGTGAAATTTGAAAATTTTTGGATCCATAAAAGTATTTTTAATCTTAAAATGAAAATTACATTGCATGTTAGATAGTCAACATGCAAAAAGAAAAAAGGCATGAGAAAAACATTGCTTTACAAACCTTAAGACTTAGTAAAAAAAAATTATATTTTGCATATGAAAGCATTGTAACATTTACTGATAATCTGCCAAATTAGCATGAAAACTATAACAAGCACAAAATGGTTACGAGGTTAGTTCTAGGGACCAAGCCCATGCTGAAAGAGTTAAAAGCATTATATGTTCATTTTTGAATTTGGTACTAATCCACATTATGCTGTCATTTCATTAACTAAATGTTTGCATCTGTTAATTTTCTTAGGAATATGTTCTAAGGATTGATCCTGTATCAAATCTGGGATTAAATGCTGAGAGTGTTTTAAGCTATCATGTAGGAGAAATTGTCCGAACTAAAGGTAGGTCTTGAGTTGAAAAAACAGTGGAAATAATGCAGAAATAAAATTTGACTTTTATTGAATGGATAAGCATCAATGTTACAGTTATATTTAACGAGTTTTATATATTGTAAATTCTAGTCATTATAGAAACACAGAATTGTGATCCTGGCACAGTAAAGATTATATGCATGATAATCAGCATATTTCTTTGTGTATATTTACTTATTTATTGTTTTTCTATTAAAGTTGTTTTCTGGGATCTTTGCACAATTTTTAAAGTTTGTATATAAGGTAATAAATAGTCAGTCTATTGTTAATTTCAATTAATTTAGAACTTCTGCGAGTTTTTTCTATTTTCTTTTTTAACCAATCATCCAGGCAGTAAGTACTCAAATAATTCTCGTATTCAATACTATACTTGTCACATGCTTTAGAAATATTTAAAAAGCTTCTTGATTACTAATGAAATAATGATCTTCTGGAACTAACATTCTTTTGATGTTCAGAAACAATGCCTTTTGTTTAAAGAAGAGTAATGTTAATTTTGGCATATGAGAGTTAAAAAAATAATTTTTCTTGCTGCTTTACAGGTGTAGAATTACCTGAATTATTGCCCTGTGGCTATCTAGTTGGTGACAACATGCAGATACAAATCACTCTAAAAGGTTAGTTGAAAACTGTTTTTGTTTTTAATTTTCACTTTTTTTTCATCTTTTGCTGTAATTCAGGATAATGTTTTTTATTTAAAATACAGTCTGCAATATAGTTTGATTTTAAGTTCTAGGAAATAAATTTGATTTTGGTTAAATTAATCTACTAAGAATTTATGAAGTTCACAAACACATATTGAGTAGTATTACTTTTTAAGATGTTTCTTAATAATTATTATTTTGTTTTACTTAAGAGAACAAGTCTGTAATTATTATCCTATTTAAGTTGAATTATGTTAGCTAAAACTGCTGCTACCATGTTTATAAATATTAATTTATTTTCTCCCTAAATTAATCACTTAAGAGTTTGATCCTATCATGACAATGATCAATTGAATCCATATCATAATATCCACTGTCAAAAGGAACTGGTTATGTTGTTGCACTTTTTGCAGCTATGTAACATGGAAACAGTGTTAGCTTGTTAATTTCATATACATCATAAATATGTACTACTTCTCCTTAGAAGAGGATAGTTGTGATTGATGTTTGTATTTCTCTTGAAAAGGTACACTTCAAAGTTCTGTTGAAGGCCTCACCTTTGAAACCCTTATTCCTAAATCTATAATTCAGCGATATGTGTCACTGTTGATGGACCAGAGAAGAATCATTTTATGTGGACCAAGTGGGACAGGTAAAACATACCTTGCACAGAAACTTGCAGAATATCTGGTCTTAAGGTATGGTTTTTTATTAGTAATTTCATTACAATATGTCTTAAGTTAATTGTGAACAAATTGTCCTTAGATTAATTCTATGCCCTAACCTTGTACAGAGTGCCATGCAACATGGTATTATGAATTTGATGTCAGAGTTGTCAACTTTTTACATTACCCTAAACTGTTCATTTTAGAGTATTGAAAATACCAGATATAATATACAGAGTGGCTGAAAATCTTTAGGTATGCATTTAGGAGATTGTAGAGGCTATGCAAATGTATTTGTATTCTTCAAATGAATGTCACCTTGCACTCTGACTTTTTGGTTAGTTCACAGACATATCTTTAGTACAAAAACTTTAGTAACACATCTAATTTTTTTATGTACAACAGACTTATTTACTAAAAGCTTGAAGATACACTAAGTAAATTCAGAATTAGTCAACATAACTTCTCCGATATGGGGGGTCAGTCCAATGGACTGACCCTCATGCACTCTCAGCTATTTTAACAAATACAACACATTCACCTGAATAAGTGAAACAGTTTGAAATAATAACATAATAATATAATGTTTTGGGACAACATGAGACCTATTGGTCCATCTCAGCTGTCCCATCCTCTAAATTAAAATAATTTAAAACATAAAAAATTTTAAAGCCAGACCTTATCATTTATATACTTTTCAAGCTTTTTCTGAAACTCACTTAAATTTATTGCTTTTACAATATCTGAAGGCAACCCATTCCAAAGGCCAACCACTCTGTTAGAAAAATTAAACTGTCTTAGCTGAAGATGACTCCTACCTTGCCAACATTTATATTTGTATCCCCTAGTCCTACTGTTCTCACTGTTAAATATGAAAAAATATGATGCATCAGCACTATTAATTCCCTTTACAATATTAAACACCTCAATCAGATCCCCTAACTCTTCTTTTTTCAAGAGAAAACAATTTGAGAGATTTCAGCCTCTCCTTTTATGTATGTTTTGATTTCTATAATTAACAAGTGTACAAAAAATCAAAAGACTTTGATTTCGATGACGAGGAACCCACTTTGAGACTAATAATGGCTGGAG